AGATACTCACGTGTGACCTTCAGAACTGCTATTGGAAGAGCAAGTTTTTTTAGATGGCTGAATAAATGAAGAAATAAAATTGGTAAAGAAATTATTTGGTTTATAATTATTTGGGGAACTTAAAAATCAAAATACTAGGTTTGTATTTTTCTCCTTTATTATTATGCATCAAGCTCAATATGTTTCTGCCATGAATTTTCATGAGGTTTTTTACTACGTAGCATGTGTGGCTTAATGATGCAATCACCTGATATACTAGGAAGACTCCAAAGGAGACGTTCCGGTCTGTTGTGTGCATAATATTTGTTTCAAAAATCTGCCTAATTAAGGAATTACCCAATGGAATGCAAGTCTACTGGGTGCATGACATGGTTAAAGAAAATAACAACAACAAAACCCCTTAGTATAATTACAATATTACATGATATCTTACATTGGCAATTTTGAATATAAGAGAATGGTGCTAACCTGCCATTGTTTCAGCTGGTATGCAAGTAGATTATGATAATCTGCAAAGGGAAAATGAAAGTATACATTTTGCAGTGATAGAGCTGTTCTGACTGTTTCCTTTTCCAACTTCAGTCTACAACCTATGGTGTGTAATGATTCATTTGATGATCATCTTTCAGTGGCTTAAGACATTGGTGAAACATCACTGCTAATGACTTTTAGTCCCAGTCTTACATCTTGTTTGTCTCAGTGAATTGTACAAAACCAGACTGTGCAGTATGCAGAACTCGTGCATTGGTTGTGGTGGGCGCATTGTTGGAAGGAATGCCCTGTGTTGGCATTTTGGGTTGTGTAGATGTCCTCCCCCTGCACTTGTTCTTTAATCCACTGTTTAATTACTTATCTTTAGATTGCAAGAAGAAAAAAACACTAAAAATTATCTGATAGATTAGGTATGAGCATAACAATTGAAATAATGGATCAGAAGAAATAACGCTCTCTTCTCAGCACACAAGAGTGGTGCTGGGTGATTTGGAAGTGGTATAAGTAGCCATAGCTAGCCAGCCCTGGGATGTGCTCAGTAAAGGTTTTATAAAATTATTCCCTCACATGCTAAAGCAGAGTTAGCCGAACTGGTGCTGAACAAAAAAAACCCCAACCCTTCAGTGCAAGCCTTAAGCAGAGGCAGTGTGATGGTGGATGGACGCTGATGGATCGGTTGAGGGCATGACCTTGGTTTCACCTGATTACAAGAGTGGATGGCACAGTGAACTTTTCTGAATTTTATTTAGTTGTCAGAGTGGTTTCACTGGCACACGAGATATAGTGGGAAGCTTTTCTTTTGGCAGGTGTTTTATCAGTTTGGGTTAGATGTATCTTGGTGAGTTATGAGAGATGACTGCAGAGTGGGCTCCAGCTGCCCTTGGCTATCAGAGAAGCTGGGTGTGTGTCATTGTACTGGTCTGAATCATGAAGCGTGCCATGTTTGTCCAACATGGGCAGTTTCAGTTGCACAAAAGGGTCCTGCACGTCGCTGAGCTCCATGCATCACATAATACAGAGTAGCAGAGAAATACACAAAAATGGAGACCAGAAGATTTTCTGTAATTAGTGAGATTTAGCCAGATTGCAGATCCTAAGTAGTAATGAGCTTCATAAAAGCAAGCCTTCATTGGATCAAAGTCAGTGCAGATAAGGGGAGCTCAAAGTCACAGAGGGGGCTGCCCAGCAGGTCCATCTGCATAAAAAATTGCTGTCAGAAATAGGCCAGAGAGGCAGCTCTGGCATTTTGATCTCTTGGCCTTTGTCATGGAGATTCCTAGTTGAGAAGGGAGGAAGGCCAGTGTCCCAGATAATGATTAACTGTTTTAATGGCATTCATTCATTCATTCTGCACTAACTACTCATGCAGAAAAAAGGGTTATGTAAAATGACATTAGAAGAAAAATCATTTGTAATCATCGCATCAACCTGCACTTTGAGGAGACATTAGGAGTAAATCCATGGCGTGGTAGGCTTATGCTTTTTCTTCTGATATTTACTGAGTTTGCTGGTGCATGAAAAGCTTTCAGCAAGAATAGCAGATGGGATGGACCTTTCATAGGTAATGTTATCTACCAAGTTATTACTTCTATATATTGATAGTGAAGTAATCTCCAAGATATCACCCTACAAATGTAGATTATTTAAATGTTTGTAAAAATCCTATAACCCTATAACATAAAGAAGCTATGCTGATGAATAGTTTATTTTGTACCCATATGACCGGACTCTTCAGATGCCTTTTTAAGCCCTAAATAAATAGAAAACAGAGGGTTTATAACACAAGGGTTTCCTTTTTTCTTTAGCTTTGGAAAGGGGTAAAGTTATGTAGAGTTGTAATCTGACCTGCAAGTATTCAGTTTAATTTCTTTACTTGAATGTGACCTTTTCTATTAACTAAACAGAAGTAAATGGGGTGGGGGGAGCTGGCTCAGAGCGGGGGCAGTTGGGGTTACAGGGGCTGTGACGTCCGTGGGACTCCTGCTGTAAACGGAAGCCCCACTGTACGTGTTTACACCCAGTTTTCAGGTGGTTTTAGCTGGTCCCTAGCAAGACCAGGGTGCTTGGCAGGTTGTGAAGGGATGGGAGCAGGGTGGGAGTGCAACCAGCATTTGGCACAGCTGTTGAGTTCCAGCTCTCAGAAATGCACTGAGAACTGCAAGTGTTTGGTGCTGGGAGGCAAACCCAACAGCGAATGCCAGGCATAACTTATGAGCCAGGTGAACTATTTGCATCTCCTGCTGTGTGTTTAACTTTTGGATTACACTGAAGCACCTAGTGAAGGAGTGTGTAAAGGCTCTTCACATACTAATTTAGCTATATAAATCACTACAGTGCTTTGGTGAGCATGGTCCATTTCTTGTCAGTATCCATGCAGCTGGCATGTATTTTCAAAAGGCCAATTCAAAACAATGGAAGATCTTACTTATCTTTCCTGTAAATAGTAGCAGTGTTTTGAAGTCAGTGCGAGTTTTACTAGAGTTTCAACACAAGAACACTAGCAATGGCCAAAATCATACTTACTTGCATTTGGGGATGACCATTCACCAGAGGAAGGAGTGAGATCCTTCAGCAGGCATTTTAGCAGGCAACATCTTGGAATGTAAAGGATTGTATCTCTGGAATAAGACATGGTTATTGTTATTATACTGCACCTTGCAAAGACCAAATAGTATAATCATGTCATTTTCAGACTGATGTTATGGTGAAAAGGCCTACTTGGCAGAAAGTAGTGGTCTTGATTTTATTTTTGACAGCTGTGTTGCACTAGTATTCTGGTCACGAAGCTCTTGAGCAGACAGGGACTGACTGAGGGAACCTTCTGGGGCTTTGTGGCAGCATCCCAGTGTGGGGCTTCAGTGGACTTCAGCTTTGAAAGCAGATTTAATATGGCTAAAATTCTACATGGTGGGAAGGCAGAGGAAGATATCACTCGTAGGATTTATTTTAGCTTTTTAGGAGCCCTGTCCAAAGTGGAGGTGATTTCTGGGGCCACTCCTAATGCTGAAAACTAACTAGAATACAAGTGATTGATCCAGTAAATTAAACCCACAGATTTTTCCTCAAGGGGATGTTAGCATTTGGTGGGGTGTTTTTCCTTGCCTGTTCAATGTATTTATGGTAAAAGGATACCTGAAAAACTAAGCTGCTTTAGTAGGTCACACACTGCTGTTAGCTGGAGAGCTCTTGCTGTAAGACATGGATGAAAAATATATAAATTAATTTATAGGTGGTGGGTTTTTTTCCTTTCCTTGTTTTCCTGCCTTTTGTGACAAATCACTGTTGGATGTGTCACTCTACCTGGTCTTCCTTTAGCCTTCTCCTGGTGAGTGAATGTGAACTGAGGAACATGAATCAGAAACACGCATTTAAACCCAAGGCTGAAGAGGTTCAAAATAAGGTGACCCTGCAGGTGTGATCAGATTAATAAAAACCAGCATTGGAAGATTTCTGTTGTTTCTGCCTATTTTACAAGTACTGTTGTCATTCTTCTGGAGGCCTATGTGGAACACAGCAGCTCTAACAGTGGAAGTATAGGGTGAAACAGTTTTAAAGAAAAAAGCAATTACTGTCATGAGCTTTACTAAATGCTACTTTTTTTTTGGAAATGCATGCAGTGCTGGAAACAGTAAGGTCACTGTTTTGCCCTGTTGGATTTTAGCTAGAATTCATGCACCCTTTGTTCACACCCATTCCAACAGTATAGGCTCTGTGGCTGTTATTTTTCAAGGGGATGAATGTGTTGTGTGTGAGGAAAGTAAAGGTATAGACAGTATGTTCATTTATTCCACTTAGTGGTACTAAATGGGGAAAAGAAAAAGAGCTGCCTGTTCCCTTGAATTTGATGGAGCATGCTAAATCTTCCTTCACCTTATGTAAGTCCCAGGAGCAGCTGTGGACCACAGGATGGTGTGGTCTCTGCTGGGAGCAGAACCAGTTCCCCATTCTCTTCGAAAGACTGACAGGTCCTCCTGCAGTGTGCCTACTCCTGGGCACTGCTGTTGGAAGCGAACATAAGCTTGGGAATGCAGTGGGTGAAAGTCCCGTATCTCCATCAGATCTTTGCTGTATTGCTTTAAGCAAGGCTAGTTCAGCAATACACAAATGTGCCTCTCCAGCTGGTGGATGCAATAGCTGATGGCCCTATGTGTCCCAGGGGATGGTGGGGCATCTGTGGGAGCCGGAGGGGGTTGGAAGACAAGACGGAGGAGAAAGAGATGAATCAACAGTTTGTTTTCTTGTATTCAGAGCTGAAATAACAGGGCCAGGTGGAATAGATACAGGGGATGCCTCTTCCCACCTCATTTGTGATGCTCAGTCTGAACCTTGCTCTGCAAAATTAGAGTCATATGAGCCACTTGCTTCTTTTTCAAACATAATATTCCAACAGCAAGCAGGAATGTTTTGATTTAAGCATAATAAAATTATATTTATGTCATTTAAATTTGTCTTTAATTCAGCATTCAGAATACTGCCAAACCTAATTCTTGCCTATTTCTATCTTTCAGACAAAGCCAGGACCCATCAAGGCAGCCAGTTCTCACTCTGAGCGCTCTGCTGTAGTGTACTGCTACAACTGTTCCCAGAAAGGACATTTTGGATATGTAAGTTTAGCAGTCTCTGCATTAACGTTAAATGTATCCCTTGGGTGGTTCATCTCTGACATGCTACGTGTTTGGAGAAAAGAGCTGGGAGAGTCAAGCTAATCATCTATGAAGGGCCACTCCAATGAAATTAATTTTGGGGAGAATATTGGAAAATAAACAGTTGGTAAACACAGCTTTTTTTTTTTTTTTTCCTGCCGTGTTCAACATCATGTAAGGTTTTTTCACCACAATCAGCCTGACAATTTGAAATCCCATTTTAGGAATTTTCTGTTTCTGCCTGCTTTTAATGTTCTTCACTTGTAGTTTCTTAGTTTAATTCAGCATCTGAATTAAGGTTGACATTATCCTTCTGTAAGGTGTACATACATTATGAGCCTTAAGTGGCTTCAGTAAAAACTGGAGATCTGCTGCATCTTCTGGGGTTGCTTGGTGATGCTTATCATCTTTTTCAGGCCCCTTTTGTGACAAGTGCAACTCTCCACCTGCAAATACCAACACCAAACAATGTTAGTTCTTTTCTTTTATGGAATAAATTCATGAGGCACAAGTATTCTAGAAAATGAGTGTTACTCATGCATTGGATAGGTGAAGTTTATAGTTTCCTGCAGCTTAGAGATAGCAAATTCCTTCCTTCTCCTGCATGCTTTGTGTGTTGGCTCCTACAGCTACTGAATATGTGTTGTTAAAAGCTTGCTGCTGTTTCCACCTGAACAGTTAATCCGTGTGGGAAATAGTGGGACAGGTAGGGCAGGTTTGCTGGGATCTTCTCATGGCAGAGCTGAAAGATGAATGGAAGATTTTCAGTGCTGAGCTGTCTTTGGAGAAAAGTGAAGATTTTCTTCTTGGAGCTAAGGCCGTTGTGTACAACCAGGAGACGTGGCTGCCTGCTGCCCTGGATTGGGAGGGGCAGAAAATAAGCAGCTGTTGCAATCCAAGCTTGGTGAGAGACCATTGTATGCCACCAGCGTGGTGTCACCCTTGGCATGGGTACAGACACTGGCTTGACTGTGGTACAGGAGTCCAAATCCTTGCCTTCATCTGCAGGACATCTGCTCAAGGCACAGCTATGTGTGCAGCAGCAGCGTGATTCCTCAGCAGCACAGTCATGCAAACGAGCTTGTTCTGGTGTTTGGGAACTAGAGCTGATAATGCCTATGAAAACAGCGCTGAAACTGATGCTGTTAAACAAAACCAGAATAAAACCCCTGCCAGTGATATGGACTCTAAAATAGACATATACAATAAAAACAGAAGTGAGAGGATTAAAGAAGGAAGTGAGCTGACTGCCAGCAATGGATAAGGAACATTTTACTAACCTGTCAAAAAATGTCATTTGAGGAAGGCAGACAGCTGTACATGGATACAAATACAGCTGCTGTAACAATGATTTGTAAATATGTGGGAGGAGCTGATAGCTTGGATGGAAAATGGTGGTAACTCTGAAATTAGTAAGGCGGTAAAGTGACTCAAGGGCAACACTTTCCAGTTATCAAAGCTAAAGAAGGTAAGATAGTGTTTTTACTAGTGTATGAGGAGCAGAAATAGCCTGAGCAATGACAGAATGGAGAAGTCACAGTCACAACACAGAAGGGCAAAAATACCAGACTTCCTATATGCATACAGAAAAAGAACCAGGACACACATCAGATTATGTGATGATAACTGAGCATTTGCCCTCAAATCATTAAACTTCCTGTCCAAAAATGGATGAGGAAATTGGACTGGGAGCCTGGATGTGAATCTGCACAGTGACCCAGCTGGACAAGGAACACTTCTGAGGTTTGCATCTCTCACTGGCTGAGAAAGCTGAGAACATAATCAGTGCCTGAGTTCATGTGGTGAGCTGCTCTGTCAGCTTGGAAGATCTGCCTGTAATTTAAGGGTGAAAAAGGATTTTTGTTTTTAATGTTAATATTTTTAACAGAAAAAAATTACATATGATGGCAAGCATCTTAACGTTTTTCCGATTTCTGTATGTCAGGAATTATGTTCTATTGCCTTTTTTGTGCAGTTAAAGCAGATGAATAACAAACTGACCAAGAAGACAAGGCTAGGGTTAGTTTCTTATAGATGCGCCATAACCTGTGCTTCCCACTCTAGTCCTTTCCTTCCATGTTGCCATTTTATCTAGTTTAGGAACACCTGAAATTCCTTTTGTTTGGTAGAGGTCTAGGAAGAGCTTTCCTAGACGTAGAGGGAAGAGCAAAAACCTTACTAAATTCCAGAGTTAACTGTGGAGTTCTGGTAAGACCATCATTGCAGACCACTTCTTGTTTGTAGAAGTGGAAACAGTTAAGATATAAAGTGTCAGAGATGGCATCGCCTGACTGTTATGTTTCCTGAATTTGCTTTATTTTTTATTGACAGACATGGTCTGTCTCTTATGATCCATAGGTCTGTCTCTTATGGAGACAGACAAGGTCTGTCTCTTATGGATCCATAATATTAATGCGTGGTCATCTTAGGGTTCATCCCCATTGGAAAGTTAAGAAGGAGGGTAAGTTAATGAGGAACAGCCTATTGCATTATTCAGGCTGTAGCCAGTTCTCAAGGCAGTAGTGATAAGGAGTTGTACAGTATCTGCAGATGTGCCTTGCATTCACATCCAGTATGCCAATCACACACTCTTGCAGGTTGGTAGCAGGCTCTGCTTTCCATCCTCTGTATGAAACCTCTAGCACTGAAGACTGTCCCAAGAGTATTTAACAGTACACAGTGCATGGCAGCAGTGGCAGCTTACTTGAGAGGGAAGGATATATCCAAGTGCGTGTTGGACATTGCTGAGTTAAAAAGGAGTGCTGATTTGAGTGGCATGTGCATTTCATTCACTACAGCTTCTCTCTCTTGTCAGCACATTAACAGAACAAAAAGAAGGAATGGCCACACATCTGGAGAGCAAGCCCTAGATTTGAAGCAGGATCCCAAGCAGTACATTTCACAGGTGTCACACAAAGGTGTGTGTCTTTGCATACTCCTGTGTAAAGACAATCTGTGTCATTTTCAGTGATCTCTGGCAATGTTTAGGGATAACATTTTCTTTCATTTATTCCATCTTTGTGCCTGCCTAAAGGCCAGTCTTAGGTTTAACTAATATGAAACACAGGTATTTGAAGTGCCATTTGTCTGTTACTCTTTTCTCTTGTCTTAAATCCAGGGAAGGCAGATAGAGAACCCTGGAAAGGTGAGAGAGAAGGTTTCTTTGTGGTTTGATAGGTGGCTGTTCAAGGTGTTCAGTGTGAAATGCAATCGACTTCCAGGATATGCTTTTCTCGGTTGAATAGCTAATGATAACAGCCTCAGGCAATGGATGGACTTGCATGCCCCTTCTAGGTCCCTTTCAGCATAATTTCGCAGTGGGGTATAAGGCTGATCCCTCAGACTTGGGTAGGCTCCAGCTACGAGCTGCCATTGCTCATCCACACTCCTCTGAGCAGGTAAAGACAAGCCAGTTGTCACATAGCCTAACAATACCCTTTTGGAGGGCACCATGGAGAACAGCATGATTCTTCATTTAATTTCAGCCAAGGAAAGGCCAAATACAAGCTGAGAAATATGAAATACATGCAAAATGCATCTTTGATGTACTCTGCCTCTGAGAAAGAGAGGGGAGGAGGCAAGAGGACACACAGGGAAAAGGGGGTGCTAGAGGTGGCACTGGAAATAGTAAACAAAAGAAGGAAAGCTGCTTAGCTTGTAGTGGAAACATCAGGGTGAGTGAAAGATCCTGACAGTTTCTTGAGAATAGCAAGGCCCAGACTTCACTAGATTTGGGCAGTATCCAAGAAGTAGAAAGATGATTGCTAAGCACAACAGCTAACAAGCAATTTGCAAGGATAGAAATATATATATATATGTATATATATCACATGCTACTCTGAGAAAAAAAAAAAAAAAAGGAAAGAACTGTGGGAAACATCCCAGTAAGCCTGACTCACAGACATCGCTAAAACTAAACAGCAGTGGAATAATTCACATTGCTGAATGAAGTGTTTGGGAATAGGCTGACATGCACATGATACAAGAGCCAACCGCTTCCTCACCACAGATAATCGTTTCAGGCTCCCGTCCACTTCCCTACAATCTGATGTGTTTGCACAGCACTCACCTGTAGGATTTGGTTTTCGATTACATCTGTGAGAAAACTGCAGCAGCCAGACTGTCTGCACATGCACAGTGTGGGGAGGATGCTGCGCCCAGCTCCTCATCACTGCTTACTTCCCCTTCAGCCAATCCCACCCTTGCAGTCTGCCACATTTCTGCACATACTTCCAGCCCAAATGATGTAGTTTAAAAGAGATTCCCTGCAATAAGAAGCATTTTCCTTTCAAGAAGACTGGGTATGTAGCTGTGCTGGGAGACCAGGAAAGAGCTGGTGGGGGGGAACCTGTCCTGACTGCAGGCAGGACAGCCCTATACCCCGGATCCTACAGCTCTGCTTGCAGTCCGCCTCATTTACCTAGTGCTCACCTCCTTCTAGACCTCTGCTTCTGTCGGTGCTACAGATGTGTAGGAACTGCAGGAAGACATAGGATTCCTTCCATTTGCTACAAGAGAACTGCAGCTTGGCTTATGTTACGTATGTTTCTCTGTGTGCACAGGAAGGGTTATTGGATGTTAATAGAATTATGAGTGTTTAAACAATTGCTGGCCACATCCTCCACAGGTGCAGACCAGCATCTCCAGAATCTGACTGATTTTCCTTCCAGACAACTCAGCCACATCTAATGACTTAAAATGTGTTTTGCAGGAGTGCTCAGAAAGGCGGATGCATGGAAGCATGTTCCCTTCTTCTCCATTCATCTGCTACTATGATGATGAATACGATCTCAAGAGAAGGGCGAACAGATTAAAAAGAAAGGTTGCAGGTACAGTATGTTTTGTGAGATCTCTCCTGCCTTTCAATTCTTCAAAATACCTTTTTCTGTGTTTAATGTTTTCAGAAATTTTGTGGGATTACTTTCACATACTGGGAAGGCTATAGGGATTTGCAGGTAGTCTTAACAGTAGTATAAGATGTGTGACTTTATTCAACCCTGACTATCATGGAAATTATTGTGTCAAAGTCACAAGGTGGATGTTGTCAGATGTTTTGATTCTAAAAAATCCACTGAGATTGAAAATGCTATAAACTAGCTGGAAGAGGATTAAGATGTAACTTGTTAAGATTCTAGTCTGCTGACAGAAAAAAAAAACCAAACAAAACTATGAAAAAATCTACCAGAAATGAATTTTTGTCTAACTAACTTCATAAATACACAAGGACAGCTGTGATGGCTTGAGCACTATGTTTTAGGTGTTTTGCATGCATATTGAAAGGCACTGCTCTGTTTACAGAACTATATGAAGCTGGCCTTCTGCCTGAAAAGCCAGAGACACCATGGCAGGAGGAGGAACATGAAGGGCACAGCCATAAGAAAAAGAACAAGCCTTGGAAAGAACATCGGAAACATAACAAAGATGGCAAGTGTCACAAAAGGGTGAAGATGTCCCAGGCAGAGAAACACAGAGAAGAGAAACACAGGAGTGATGTTGAAATCAGCCGCAACCTGGAAGAGGACTTCCCTAGAGGGTGTAAAAGGCAGGCATGTAAGGGCAGCAAAATCCATCACAAGTTCATTTTCAAGGCATTCTCAGGCAGCAAGACTGCTTACACGCAGGAGCCTCTGAAAGGTGCTAAAAGAAAGAAGAAATGGAAAAAGCGGAAAGATGCTAGTGCTGGTAACACAGAGAATTTATTCCTCATAAAACAGAAGAAGAAGAGGTCTTCTTCCTGGTGATGAGGAAGTAGATAAGTAGCACTGGCATTTACTGACTCCAGTTCCTCTTCTCTTTATTTTTGTCCCTCTCTTAGTACACTGAATTTGAGTCCACCCCTGAACCCACATGGGCATGCCCAGGCACAAGTCACACCCTGAATCCTGTTCCCAGAAGGGAATGCTCTGTCTGTCATGAACTGGCCACTTGACAGGTAGCCTTAGTGCTTGTGCCTGGAGTGGCAGTACTTTTCAGCAGTCCCAGTATAGGCTATAAGTTTGTTTTCATTGCTTGGGTAAAAGGGAGGTAAAAGGGGCTGTGCTTGGTTTGGTAGCTTTTTTTTTTTTTTTATCAGTGAGGTGTTGCTCTGCCTGCCAGAGCAGGATGTGTTGCTAGGGAACACAGTGCCTTTGGAGCTGATGGTGGAGAGACTCTCATGTTAGGAGAAGCTGGAATGCAGACCAGGGATGTGGATATAAAGCATATTTCCTGCAGCCACTCAGTATTTTCCAGCTTGCAGCTGGGCACTGTTTCACTTCAGTCCATCCCAGAATGAGGGTGTTGCAAAGTCATTGGCTTGCACTTTGGGATTTGACAGTCTTCTGCCTCATGCTCCATGGATCCATATCCATGATGTGGATCCATCACCCTCAGTGCCACAATTTTTAGTGCACAGGCCCATTCCCTCTCTTTGCCAACCAGTCAGCAGGGCAGGAGAAAGCATCTGAGAACAGAATTTACATCTCAAATTAAATATGTCCTGTTCCCCTTGATGTGGAAGTTATTTCTGGTGAAAAGATAGGAGAGTATGAAAGATTTATTTGGTTCCACACATACTGTGTTAAAATTTAGTACTTTTTTTAAGATAGGTATTTTTGTACACTGGAATTAAATGTGTTTAAAAGCTTTGTAAGAAGTGCTTAATCAAAGAAACACCCCAAATAAAACTTCACAAGGGATATAAAAAAACTGTAGCTTTATTTCACATTTTCTCGCATTACTAAGCATAATTAAAACCAGTTTTCTTCTCTTTCATAAGCTGAAACTACATCACCTCTGGCAAGAGAGTCTTCTGGTTTTGAAAAGGAAATAATGACTCATGACCTGCTCCATCCTATACCACTCCTTTTGCTAAGCAATTGATGGTAACTAACAGCTCAGTTTCAGAAAAGTGCATGTCCTCTCTTAATTTTACTAAGAAATAGGCCTTTGGCTACGGTTGTGTTTTAAAATCGGAAAGCATTTGTAACCTGTGCTAATTTAAGGGCATCTGAGAAACTGATACAGGTACACTAGAAACACTTCAGGATTATCATTCTGCCAGTAGTATTCTTTGCTGGTACTCCCTGAATTCATCAGCTTTTTGTTTGGCAAAGTTGCCAGTGAGAACACTGGTATTTTAGTGACCATATCACCTCATCTCAGAGGTGGCTGGAGTAGAACTACACCTGCATAATACTTGAGAACCTAATGCCCTGTTTTGCTTATGTGTGTGTCCTTGCTGGCAACCGAAGTTTAATTTCAGTATCACTTGATTGAAAAGTTCCTGATGATACTGAAAAAGTAAATCAGTTTTAGCCCTAATAAAAGATAATAAAAAATAAAAAAAATGAAGAAAATACTAATTCCATTCCTGAAAAGTCTCTACCCTAACATTGAAACTCATCTTTTCTTGTATGCTGAATTTTGCATCTTGTCTTCCAGATGTGTTTCCTCCACTGTTTTTCAAGCTAATATTGAACAAATCGGGGAGGGGGGGGGGAGGAGTTAAGGTAAAAATGGCTCAGCGAAATTGTGGCCTCACCATTTTCTTCACTGTACAGTTGTGTGATAACAACTGGTATCCCTGGGAGTGTTCACAAACCATGTAGACGAGACCCTTACTGACATGGTTTAGTGGTGGCCTTGGCAGTGCTGGGGAGCGGTGGGACTTGATCTTCAAGGTCTTTTCCAACCTGGTCAATTCTATGGTTCTAACCCGCAGAAACCTGACTGTAGGTTGTGACTTGTGCCTGTCACTGGCAGTAACTGTTGCAAGCACCAGATGATACATTTTTGATGGAAACTTCTCTTGATTTCTCTTCTTAGTCCTACAGACACCTAACCTGGCCCTTGCTCTGATACATGTTTTGCTTGTTGATGCAAGACAGTGAGTAAAAGCACAGGGAGGTGGGGTATTTGGAAGCATATGAAGAGAAAAAAAGAACACTTGGAAGCAGATAGGAGCTGGATGAAGGAGTTCCTGGCAACATTGCAGGTGAATGCCAGGATCTAAGTGACCAGGGACTGGTGCTGCAGTGCAGCTCCCATAAGCTGCTGACCATCAGGCAGCAAAACTGTGTTAAAGGAAACAACATGCTGCAGAAACATACATAAACTGGAGCAATAACCACAAGTCTACTTAGGTCATGGCAGGTTAAGACATCAGCTCAAATACTACTTTATGTCAGGCTTTGCACAGCAAAAGAGGGCAGATCTGCAGTGGAGGGCCCACTAGAGAATTTGGAGGTGATTCAGAGGGCCAAGATAATGCAGCTATCAAGGAAAGGCTGACTTGTTTTCTAGAGGAAAGGCTAAATGGATAAATAACGTGCAAAGTAAAATTTCTGTTCTTAATATGGGAGTCAGTAGAACAGCAAAGCATGCATTTAAAGAACAGAAAGAAATGTGTAACTGAGCCACTAAGAAAAAAGACCCTAAAATGGTAAAGCTGACAAGGGGACAGCAGCGGGCTGCCTGAGGAGGCGTGCTGTCTTGCTGGTGGATTTCAGGAAAGAGTTGAACAACCTGGTGGAGATCATAGAATCACATAATATCTCCAGAGACAGTGCATCTACCAACTCTCTGGGCAACCTGTGCCAGTGTTCTGCCACTCTCATTGTAGATTTCTTCCTCATGTCCAGCCTGAATCCCCCATGATGAGGTTGTCACCCCTCATCCTGTTGCATCAGTCCCTGCTAAAATGTCTTTCCCCATCTTTCTAATAGGCTCCTTTTAAGAACTGAAAGGCCACAATAAGGTCTCCCTGGAGCCTTGTCTTCTCCAGGCTGAACAACCCCAACTCTCTCAGCCGTTCCTCATAGCAGAGGTGCTTCATTCCTCTGATCCTTTTTGTGGCCCTTCTCTGACCCTCTCCAACAGGTCCATGTCTTTCCTGTACTTAGGACTTCAGAGCTTGACACAATACTCCAGGTGGGGTCTCACCAGAGCAAAGTAGAGGGGAAGAATCGCTTCCCTTGACCTGCTGACTACGTTTCTTTGGATGCAGCCCAAGATACAATTGGCCTTCTGAGCTGCAAGTGCGCATTGCCCACTCATGCCCTATCTTTCATCCACCAGTACCCCTAAGTGCTTCTCCTCAGGGCTACTCTCAATCCCTTCACACCCAGCATGTATTGATACCAGAGGTTGCCTTGACCCACTTGCAGGACTCTGCACTTGGCCTTGTTGAACTTCATGAAGTTCACGCGATGAAAGAGGTGGCTGAGCAAGCTGATGAGTGGATGGACCAATGAGGTCCCTTCCTTCAGCAGTCTTAGCAGCCTGGTCCTGCCCTCCCTCATGCATAAGCAGCAGTGCCCTGAGCTGCTATTGGGTAGTGCGAAGTTATGCATGCCCACCCTCAAGCACTGTGGGAACGGAGAGCAGGAAAATGAAGACATCCCACCAGCTGCACAGGACTGCCTGTCCTCAGCAATTGCTCACCAGCCTGGAGGAGTGCTCAGGTGGCTGAAAGTCAGTGCCCCACATCTCCCAACAGGTACACTCTACTCCAGTTTCAAAATCTTCCCTCAGACTGGGAGTTCTAGCCTCCTTACACATGGAAGTGACAGGGTGCAGTGAGAACACGGATTTGTCTCTTGCCCACCACTGGGGCTGTAGCAAGACCCTCATTTGCAGACCTGTTTCCAGCCTGAGATGGAGTTTCATGGTGTACGGCCAGTCAGTGAACCTTCTCTCCCCAGATCTTTAAACTTCACCTGGACCAGTGAGTAAATCATCACCACTTACCTGCTGGAGGAGAGCCAAGCGTCTGTTCTGTGTGCCCATGCTGGGGCCTCCACTCCCAGGTCTCTTTCTTGGGCCACTTGAAACAAAATGGGTTTTGTCCTGCACCAGTGGGCTGTCACTCATAATCAGTGCCCCTCAGCACTACCTGTAAGGCTTCTGTCCAGCAGCTGATGCATTTTACAGACCTTAGCCTAAAAATAATACAGTTGAAACTGTTTCTGCATGAGATAAGAAGGATAGGATAAGGAAAATAGCTGAAGGGGTAAAGCGTTTTCCACAATCAAAAATATCACTACATTAGGTACTACTTAAAGGAAAGTACTGCATTAAAATCCTGTTCTTGGCCTGGTGACTTGCAGACTGAGTTACTTTCATCAAGCTCCATTTTATCCTATTAAACCAAAATGTATTTCAGCTTGTCAGTCCTCCCACCTGCTTTTTTCCCCCCTCCTTTAAAGAACTGTCAGTCTTTACTCCAGAGATGCCTGAGACTGAAAAACATGCTTATCCCAGGAGAGGATAGTGTCTTGAGGTCACAGTTGATGTGCACTGGTGAAGCAACATGAGGAAACCTACACTGCGTGAATAAATAAAGGACTGTAGCTCAGCCCAGACTCAGTGGAGGAGACAAGATGGATGGATCAAAAGGTCAGAGTCTTGTTTGATAATGGGGGCAGTTGTCCCAGGAGTGAAGAGGAGAGTATTTGGTCTATCATTTGTTGCAGCCTCTACGCACCAAGGTTGAGGAAGGAAGGAATACTTTTGATTTGAGGTGTACATCTCTGCAACATACCAGCAAGCAGTAGAAAGGAATTAAATGGGTCTTTGTAATATAGTGGACTAGAGGGCTGGCTCCTCCTTGCAACTTTCTTTTCCCTGAAGTCTGCCTTATATACATATATATATATACACACACATACTTATTTATATATAAAAAACATTTTTCTTAGTATATATTCTTATATACATTCTAGCTAATGTATTTTTTATATATTTTAATACCTTTTATATCAAACAATTATAAATATTATATATATATTATATATATTTTTTATATTTATATATATATATATATCAAGGTACAAGATATTGTAGAATCTGCTAGAAAAGTCATTTAACCAAGCATGTCTGAGCTACACAGCCACCCTGTACTGCACCACTGTGAATAGTGACCAGAATTTTCAATATCAAAGCCAGGCTGCATGGCCCCAAACAGCTCCAAAGGAGAGGTCTGAAACCTGTGGCAGAAAGATGATCTGCTCCCATATCACCAGTGCTGTGTGGGTCTCCAGCCACATCCCTGGGGAAGCATCAGACTTGAGCAGCATCCTTTTGATGGCAGGACTAAAATTTGGGGCTTCCCCCATCAGACAGCACTGGTACCGAGGTGCAGGGTCCCATGATGTTCTGACCAGAGTGTGCTGCCTCCTCCGAGTTGGCACTGCTCATCTGGCAGCAGCATTAGGCAGTCTGTTTTGGACACCACAGCTCTCCAGTCTGACTTCCTGTTTGCCAGCAAGCTGGTGCAGATGTTTGCCCTAGGGGGTCCCTAGAGCGTAATGTCAGTTGCTGATCTTCCTGTGGCACCAGGGCACCACAGC